TAATTAGAAAGCCAAACAAGTATAAAGTAAAATTGTTTTTAAGAGCAATATCACCAATATAGGCTAATTTACCATTTCAGTAAAATTGGCATTTCTGTAGATCTATTAAGGCTGATAATTTTCCAATGTACAGTTTCTTTCTTTCTATAACAGTTTTGAGAAATATAAAAGTTCATTACTTATGGATCTTGACATGTTAAACAGTTTTGTTCTTATGGTATAGAACCACTAATTCAGGCCCGGTCGGAAAGAACATACAAGAAAGTAGTACATATTTTAAACAAAATAGTTCCTACGCATAGCAGTATCTTTGTTAATAGTGGGAATATTTGGGTAGTTTTAGTATCAAATGAAAGCTTGGGGACTTGAGATCACTGTAGAACCCTTGTTGAAAGTTTTATTTGAATAATAAAGAAGTATATGAAATTTTAATAGGTGGGCTCATTTGGCCTGTTGTTCAGATCAGAAGTTCCTGTTTTTGTACTATCAAACTTCAGCAAAAGTCAGCATAAGGTACAGTTTTGACATGAAGTAACTGCCACTTTATTTGAACTTAAGACAAAGTAGCCATTTATGCTTGAAATTGCAGAATTTAACATAGAAAGCAATGGGGCTATGAATTAGTGGTTTCATACCTATTACTGACAGGCATGTGAAATTCAATTTTTAGAAATCATACCCTTTACAGTGAAAATTGGTCACATTTGTTGTCAGAAATCATGATACATTATTTTTTTTATGTAACAATTATGTTAGTGTCAAATTCCAGCCCTCAAATTGCTACAATAAGGTATTTTAGCCTTTTTGGTCATTTAGCATGCACACAGTTAAGATTTTACCTGAAATTTAATTTTTTGGATTATCTAACACTGAAACCAATGAAACTTGTATATTATGACTAGTTTATAGTATAAATATTGTTTTTAGTCAAATTATCTAGTGAGTGTTCATGTTTTATTGTGTTTCTTGGTGAATTATTTATTTCAAGGAAAATTGGTGTATACTTATATAGAAATTCCAAAATCTCACTTGAAATGCATTTTATAACCATTTTACAAGTTGTCTAGCTTGGAGATACATACATTTCTCTTGTTGATCCATGTTTATACATAAAAGTATGGTTTGTTTACCAAATCACTCTCCTTTTCCAACATGTAGAAAAAAGGGGGGACAAAATTATCAATTATATTTTATGTTTGGACCACTGTATTTATATTCAAGGAAGAATCTCTGATAAAAATAAGACATATAGGTAAGAACACTGTTATTTGAGTACTAGTAGATATTAACAAATCAGAACTGGTAAAAATTGAAAAAAGTGTCATATCTGTCACTATTAGTATCCATATGTAGTTTTCTTTGTTTAACACATATGTTACTACCAGTCGAATTTGAGCTTGAATTCAGTGATATAGTGTTTTGACAAAAGCTTTATGTATTTTTCTATGCTAGAAATAGATCATAGAAGGAAATTAAGTCAGGCAGAAGTCAATATTACACGTTTGGTGCTGTTATAGGTATAGAACCACTAATTCAGGCCCGGTCGGAAAGAACATACAAGAAAGTAGTACATATTTTAAACAAAATAGTTCCTACGCATAGCTGTATCTTTGTCAATAGTGGGAATATTTGGGTAGTTTTAGTATCAAATGAAAGCTTGGGGACTTGGGATCACTGTAGAACCCTTGTTGAAAGTTTTATTTGAATAATAAAGAAGTATATGAAATTTTAATAGGAGGGCTCATTTGGCCTGTTGTTCAGATCAGAAGTTCCTGTTTTTGTACTATCAAACTTCCGGGAACCAGTACGCTCTAATATGCAATTAAAGGTATGTTGATTTTTTCAGCACAAGTCAGCATTAGGTACAGTTTTTACATGAAATAACTGCAACTTTATTTGAACTTAAGACAAAGTAGCCATTTATGCTTGAAATTGCAGAATTTAACATAGAAAGCAATGGGGCTATGAATTAGTGGTTTTATACCTTATCTATTATGGTTTGATAATTAACTACATTTTACCCATATGTTATAATTTTAACCGTATCAGCCATGTTTTTAATGGTGCGGAATAAAATTAACAGACTTTGATATACATACCCTAAGGATCAATCATGTGAAGTTTTATTAAAAAGTATACGGACGATGGATGACGGACGTCAGATACATGAAGATGAACGCAAAGTGATCGCAAGATTCCCTATTGACCTTGAGTCACATGAGATAAAAAGACCTGGAATTACTGATCATTAAAGTTTCTTCTGTTTACAATTTCTCTCTATCTACTATGGTATTTGCTAAAATAAAATAGGTAAGATTGTCAATAAAGGGCAATAACTCCTATAAATTTTCGGACGATTTTTGTCGCTTTTTTGTTGAAACTACAAAGATACCAGGACTAAGAACTTATCTAGCTGGTTCCTTCAATCTATAACCGTTTTCATTATAGTAGCCAAAAGTGCAGAAATGTGTAAAAGAACGATTTGAACTATTTTTCTTGTCTTGCTGGTCGGTTTTGCTGCTTATAGTCTCTCTCTCTCTCTCTCTCTCTCTCTCTCTCTCTCTCTCTCTCTCTCCACGTATATAAGATAAGATGCAAAAAAATCCTGAATTATTCACCTAAATTTAACTTTTAAAGCCCATAAAAACAGATGTAAACAATTCAAATATACCAACTTAGGCATTTTTCCCTTCTCTTATAAAGAGTTCCATATTTTTTGTTTAAAAAGGCATTAGCTACGAGATATACAAATAATTGAAATATGATTTTTTTTCGATCATTAATCAAAGTTATAAAGTGAAATAATAATTCGCTTTTAGCAGCCAATTTAGTTCAATTTTGTCAAAATAAGCTAATAAATATCGCTGATGAATTATTCACTTGCAAGTGAATAATTCGACCTCATTGAATCCGTATTCATGTGACCTTCAATTTTACCCCTTAGCTGGACATGGATGGGTTACGCATGTATTCAGTTATTAAAAAGAAAAGAATGTCAACATTGAAAGTGAAACAAGGATGAACGGTTTGGTTGACTGATTCGATCTGAGGATTCGATCCTCAAAAATCATTCTTATACAGGTAAAAACGATGATAAACGTACTTTTTAACCTACAATATGAAATCAAACAGACCTATAAAAATCCCAATGCACGTGGTCATTATCTTTTTATATTCATATTTATGTTTGTATCGGGTTATATGACCGTCGGCTGTCTTCGGAGGTCATCATGATGGTTGTTTAAATGACGTCTAGACAAAAATACACACGAAATATTGATACATATTATCGAGTTCATGCATTGTTAATTGTTTATTTTATACTTTTTGTAATTTGGAAATACATTTTAGTATGTTATAACTCAAATATGAGAACTTGAGTCAAATCAGTGAAAATGATTTTGACAGCTAATGCCCCTTTAATTTCAACTAGATAGAGCCTGTTCATACTTCTTATATTTAGCTCGAAATAACAAAACATTCAAATTATCTTCATTTTGAGATATTGTCATTAATATTAAGAAAAAGTTATATCAAAAAAATTATTTTGCTACAAAATTATTTCACAAAGATGTTTTCGATGTGTGTTAAATATCTTTAGGGTAATTTTGACATGTTTATAAAGTAATAGTGACATAACAAGTGACCTTTCTGAACTAAAGTGTCCAGATTATATTAACCTGTTTATCTAACATTAAAATCAACAAAATTTTGTAAGATATTTTTGTTATTTCAGGGGCCAAATACTGCTTCTTATAATACCTCTTCCTTTAGAGAAATTTTCCTTCAAATATTTCTTGACCTTGAAAGGATTATTCATAAAGGCTATACTAGTACTATATTTGTTCTATCACGCTGCTTCTGGTAATTTTGGGTGTTAAACATCAATAAGCTAGTTTATACTTTGAACCAGTATTCCGATGTTTCTTTTAAATTGATTAAGTATCGGTATAGTACAGTGTGTTCTGTGTATTGCCAAAGAGTGTATTTACCTGTACTGTTTATGACATTTATGTATGAAATCATCTATGAAGAATGTAAGATGGCCTGATTTCATATCAGCAGGTTATGTATCAGGAACTGCAGATATTTTTTGTTACCGTATTATACTTTTCATTATTTTTTAAAGGGGCATCAGCTGTCAAATTCATGTTCACCGATTTGACTCAGATCGTCATATTTGATTTATAACTTACTAAAACGTTTATCCAACTTACAAAAAGTCTAAAATGAACAATTAACAATGCATGGACTGGAGAATATGTATCAGATTTCGTGTGTATTCTAGTCTAGACGCCATCTAATTAACCATCGAGGTGACCTCCGAAGACTGCCGACGGTCATATAACCCGATATAAACATAAATATAGATATAAATAGATAGCGAACACGTGCAATTGGATTTTTCTAGGTCTGTTTGATTTTATATTATAGGTTAAACAAATATACTAATCATCGTTTTTACCTGTTCACTTGCAAGTGAATAATTTATCAGCTATGTTTCTTAGCTTATTTTGACAAAATTGAACCAAACTGGCTTCTAAAAATGAACTTGTATTTCACTATTTCACTTCCATTAATGATTGAACAAAAAAAAAAATCATATTCTATTTTTTCTATATCTCATGGCTAATGCCCCTTTAACATGTGTTTTTGTTATATATAAATGGAGAAACCTTTTAACAAAAAGAAATTTTCTCTTCTAAAAAGATTGTAGAATGTAATTAATATTTAAAAGACGAAAAAATCAGTCCCCCTGACTAAACCGCAATATCATGTTGTCTTTACAATGTATCTCTTATTACACTATTGGTTACCAAATAACCATGGCATGTATTATTTGTATTTCGTGTTAAATTGTTAAATGGTCATGGTCTGCATAATTATAGGCTTTTAGAAAAAAAGTAATGTACATAACGATATTTATGATAACTGTCATTGAGCAAACGTCAGTCTTATAGCACGTAAAATTTTAAACTTCTTTGTATAGGTAACCATTTGGTAATTACAACAATTATATGTACTCAACCTTCGGGACAATAACTTTTGGAATTTTCTAACACTGAAGAGTTTATATTGAATATATTTTCTGAAAATACTTATTTGACAAGAATTGCACTGCAATACAAAAGTTTAACGAACAGTGATTTTATTGTTGTGCACCAGTCTTAATCAAGTAAGTTATTTTAGATGAAATATTGATAAAACCGATCAACACAAGAAGAGATTTCTATAATTTAAACACATTTTTTCTTGTAAAGCTTGGTATTTAATCAATATCTTCCGATTTGTTTCGTCTATAAGATTAAATTTTATTTACAGAATGATGTAAATATACAATTGATTGGATGTATAAAAAATATGATTAACGAGCAAATTTTTAATTTTAAATAAATGTGTGTGAAAAATTAAGACAATTAAAATGTTATGTGGTAGTAATTAGAAGCAACTTAAAAAAGTTATTCTCATAAATCAAATTTGAGATAGAAAATATGCATTTGTGTATACCCAATCAATGTATAAATATGCCGCGTGAGTGAATGTGTAAATTACATGTAAGTACATCATAAACACTAATTGTTTGAACCAAGGAGGAGAGACTTCATAAAATTTTACCATTTTTTTTTTAATATAACCTCGTTTTTTGAAGAAAACTTTTGTTCGCGTTATTTTCCTTTTTATGAAAAAATATGAAAATCTATTTGTTTGTAAATTTTTGTATCAAAGTAAGTATATACAGGTGTATTTGTCATCTGGGTCCATAGTGGCACCGCCTCTCGTTTTTGGCACGTACGTGATGTCATCTTCTGGTCTCGTTTGGAAATCGGTGATCCTCTCATGTAAACAGAGACTGAGGATAAACATACATGTATAATATGATGATAAGTCTGAAATATTTTTCTTAAAATAGAAAAAGGATTGGAAAAATTATATAGCAAAAAATCTTTGAAAGGTTAAATATCTCTGAATACCAACTTGAAGATTGTATAAATTGATATTTTAAATTTTGCCCAAAACCTTTTGAAATCCTTCGGAATTACCTTATCTTGGGAACGTTAGATTTAAAAGAAATTAACAAAACGATCATATACTTATTCATTATTTATATATCCTTATATTTCTGAAATATAAAATCACTTTCCGTTTATTAAGATTTCGGAACGATATCTTAATGTTTTTCACTGATTCAGTGAAAATATAACTAAGAATAGGAGTTTAAAGAGGCAATAGCTACAAATTAGACTCAACATTGAAATTTGATTTTTTTTCAAACATTTCTAAAAGCGGAATTTAGAAATAATATTTCCTATTAACACTCAGAGTGGTTTAATATCGTCAAAATAAGCTTTAAAAACATCGCTGATATATTATTGGCTTACAAGTTAATAATACAACCTCATTTGAATCCTTATTCATGCAACCTTCAATTTGACCTTTAGTGAAATTGTTTACGCATATGTATTCAGCATGTGATTCATTCATTAAAAATAAAAGAATGTCAACAACTGAAAAGTGAAAAAGGGAGACACAAGACATAACCATTTCGTTGACTGATCCGGCCCTTAAAAACATTCTTATACAGGTGAAACGATGATTTACACATACATTGTATTTTAATCTAGAAAATGAAATCAAACAGACCTAGAAAAGTCGTCATTATACGAATGCATGTGGCTCTCTGTGTATTTATATTTATATTTATGGTTATATTGGGTTAAAAGACCGCCGGCAGTCTTCGGAGGTAATCTCGGTGAATAATTAGATGGCTTCTAGTTTAAATACGCACGAAATGCTGATACATTATAACGAGTCAATTGTTTCTGTCAGACTGTTGTAATTTTGAATATACGTTTTAGTATGTTATAAGTCAAATATGAGAATCTGGTTCAAATCGGTGAACGTGAATTTGACAGCTAATGCCCCTTAACAAATGGGCATGTTTTACAGAATACTAACAATTATGTCGTTGAGTAACATTCTTCAGCAGTGTTTGTTAGAAGTGAACCCTGTTTCACACGTTTATTATATCTTTGTTCTTAATTGTTAAAATCTGACTTGGATGGAGAGTTGTCTCATTGGCACTCATACCACATCTTCTTATATCTACCTAATTCAGCAATGAATAACATCGATGGTCTCGTGGTAGTGTGGCTATTTCGAATGTGGTATATTCATTTGTTCGATCTCCAGCTGGGTCAAACCAAAGGCTTGATAATTGATATTTGCTGCTTCTCCGCTAAGTACAAGGTATTTAAACAAAGACTGGTCTGCTCGAAGTAATAAAGGATCATATTTGGGAACTGTTACATTGTGAATTAGTACGTTTAAGAGCCGACTATGCCAATCATACTAAATCTTCTTATTTTTATATAAACATGTCTGTCTAGTACAAATGAAGGTTCATATTCATTTGGAATTAATATGATTTCGTCTGATATGCATTTGATATTGGCCTCTTGACGTTAAATACCACGGTGATATAATTGAACGCATTGAATTCATGTGCGAATAAAAAAAACTAATATAAAAAAGCTCTGATAACAACAATACATTTTCATATTATACTATTTTAACTTTAAATAAATTTGCATATATAGGTTCATCAAGCATGGCTTACTCTGGACAGTCCCAATCTCAAGGTCCATGGGGGCAATCTCAAGGCCCATGGGGGCAATCTCAAGGCCCATGGGGGCAATCTCAGTCTGCAGGACAGTTTCAGTCTTTAGTTCCATATCAACCGATGGCTCCCATGATTCCACAGCAGAACTACTATCCAAACGGATTTCAAAGTGGAACTCATCCAGCGTGGAACAACTACTATTCCTACCCACAAGAAAATCGTCAACCAACGCAATATCATATGAAAGATAATGCTTTTGTGAATAATGGAACTGTGAATCTACATATGAAAGAGTAGACAAATCCAGTTGGCATTTGAAAAGAAATTTTGTTTCTAGTGTAGACGTATTTTTTTTTTTATTTATTAACTTTGCCATAATAATATTTTATGTATGTATGTTTTGTTGTGATACCGTATTACACATACTTTGATTTATTTCAGTTTTGCCTGTAAATAAACGGAAGGTCGTACTACTCGTACTACTTTTTTCAAAAACCCTCTCACAAGAGTTAATGTTAAACAAATGCAATTGTCATTTCTAGTTTAATAGCTAAAACAGAGCTAGGTCATGAAAACAATGCATGTTTGTAGATGAAATCCTTTTCGAAATCTAATCCGAAACTATGGAAATGAACACTTCGTAAACAGATACATACTGCTCATGATGTAACTTATGCTTTGCACGGTCAATATATACTGTAACAGTTTAAAGTTTTAAGTTGCAATTTAATCTTCACAACATAGCAGACAACCTTTCAAACTGTTGTCAGGTTAAGGTATATGTTGTGCTCTCACAGACATGTTGTATAACCCCGCCACCTTCTGCACGTGTTTGTCCCAATCCAGGATTCTGTAGTCTGGTGATTGTCGTTAGAAGATGTCTATCCAGTTTGTTTTCGTTTAATGCTATTAGCTCAAATTGTATGGTTTCTTCTTTTGATTGATTCCATTTTTTCCATTACTTTTGTACGGGTATTGGTTATGCCACATGCCGAACGATGACCGTAGTTGTTTACATCCTTGTCATTTGTTATTTGGTGGATAATTGTCTCATTAGAAATCATACCATCTCGCTTTTTTTTATAATTTTACAGCCGAGTCATGAACGCATGATATGCCCGTCTACACGGGTACGTTAACTGTGATATATAGTGTCACTATAACATAAATTGTGATATGTATTTTCACGATTCCCTTTTTTCTGCATAGGGAAAACAATGTGTTTGAAAAAGATAATCCAGCGAGTAGGTCACAACCACATTCACTGTTCAAATGCAATTTGATTAGTAAAGTCCGATAACTCTGTATAAGCAAAAAAGAAAGGGAAAACATTTTTTACATCTTTTTTATATCCGTTTGAGTTGTACCTTCATATGGCGTATTGTCTAAAGTTGTGTATATATATATGTAACGACTTCAAACGTTAGAACTAGACCATGCTTATTGTCATGTCTATATATACAACTCGTCTAATATATATATATATGTTGACTTGTGAAGTGTTTCACCTAAGTTTTTGTAATTCTTAAAAGAATAAAACACTGAATCTGTTTTGATTTTCTTTGTTGCCAGAAATCATTCTAAATTTATCTCATACATACTCTTTTAAACAGGGAACATTAAAGAACTTGTAACGCTTGAAATGTCATTTATATTTAACCATTGGACTTTATCAATGATAATATTTATCTTTGGTATTTATTACTTACATAATGGTAAACTGCACTATAATCTATGCAACTTAGAAGGGAATTTGATAACACTGTAACTTTGTTTACGGTGAGTTGTGTTGGAATGGTGCATTTGCATTTTATTATTTTGTTGATAGATCACAACATTTTGGATAAATAAAATATCTAAAATCAATGTCGTTATTCAAAGTACACGTAATTCATATTAATAAGCAAACAATTGGAACACGCTTCAAAAAGATAGCGTACATAAAACAATTGTAACACCAAACGCCAGTAATAAATCGTAACGAAAACGCACGCAAATGCAATCAGAGTAAATTAAAAAATTCGATTGTTTACATTTTCAAAAAAAACACATATTAACCATGTTACGTTGACTTGTTTGTATATAAATGAATAGTCAACAAAATCAACACAACAGTACACATATACATATATAAGATTCTACATTATGTTAAAAGTAGTTTCATGAGTATCTTGTTTAAAGTCAAATGATATTTCAAATTTAACAAAAAATGTAAGTGTTGTATTATACTTGAGTGGCTAAGTTTTACAATAAAACACGTGTACATAGATTTCTTTTTAAAGAAAACCTTCAGAAATGTCGTATACCCAAAATAGTTCTCAATGAATAGAATACCAGTATAATCTATATGTATTGAAGGTCTTTATTATAAACACTAACGTCGGTCTTTTAAATCATGCCTAACAAATTCATTCAAACAAATATTCAGAAAAAATAAGCATTTTTAACGTTCTTTTCAATAGCCAGAACCCCTCACATCACACTAACTATGATGTCGTACTACTTACTCAGTCTTATTCATTAAAATCTATGTCCTTCATATCTGAGCTTTGCGC